TGTAAAACTGAAGGAAATAACAATTTCGGACATTAAAATCCATATCCATATCCAGACTAAAAAACAAAATAGGCATGCACAACTCCATATGTACCGTTGATAAAGAATCATCCTCGATATGAAAACAGATTCAAGTACATCCCGATTTATCTCAAAGAAACCTGGTTTGGTCGGATAATAACTAAACAGAAATAACAGTGATTCTGGGCCCTGTATTTCCAACTAAATATTTACCGTTCTCGCGACGATAACCAAATGTCCCAAGGACGTCTTCGATAATAACGAGGGATCGACGAATTACCGAATTTTGTAAACGAACATTATTAACATCTGAAATTTTTCGAATCTTATGTCTTTTCTTTAATATTATTCATCACATTTCGCTCATTGTATTACGGAAGCATATTAGGGCCATTCATTTTTTTTTTTTTAATTTTCAAGTTAGGATGTTGAATTTTCAAGTTAGTAACTTGAATTTTCAAGTTAGTATCTTGAATTTTCAAGCAAGTATGTTGAATTTTCAAGCTAGTATGTTGAATTTACAAGTTAGTATGTTGAATTTTCAAGTTAGTATGTTGAATTTTCAAGTTAGTATGTTGAATTTTCAAGTTAGTATGTTGAATTTTTAAGTTAGTATCTTGAATTTTCAAGCAAGTATGTTGAATTTTCAAGCTAGTATGTTGAATTTAGTAACTTGAATTTACAAGTTAGTATCTTGAATTTTCAAGTTAGTATGTTGAATTTACAAGTTAGTATGTTGAATTTTCAAGTTAGTATGTTGAATTTTCAAGTTAGTATGTTGAATTTTTAAGTTAGTATGTTGAATTTTCAAGCAAGTATGTTGAATTTTCAAGCTAGTATGTTGAATTTAGTAACTTGAATTTACAAGTTAGTATCTTGAATTTTCAAGTTAGTATGTTGAATTTACAAGTTAGTATCTTGAATTTACAAGTTACAAGTACATTTCGCTCATTGTATTACGGAAGCATATTAGGGCCATTCATTTTTTTTTTTAATTTTCAAGTTAGGATGTTGAATTTTCA